ATAATTAAATGTTTCTATTACAACTCAACAAGAAATATATAAGAAATTCATAAACTGTTAAGTTCCTGGTTTCTGCTGTTGGTGTCTAATAAAGGCATAAAAATACAACACATATTTCCACAGCCAACTGGGTAAAACAACTTACAGTTAACTTATGCACACTGTTTACTGGTCGTCATGCAGTTTTTTAACACCCTGTCACACAGCTTTATCTTTAAAGCACTAGGCAGTCGATTTTCTACAAAATTAAAATACAGGATTTGAATATAATATTGCTCTAGTTTGTCAGCGTATGCATATAGCCACCATTAAAAGTGTTGATTAGCTTATATACAACGCTAAACAATTCATTATTATTTTCTGAAAAAGTAGCATCCATGTGTACATGAGAAAAATTTCACTAACAAGCTTCCTGCTGTCTGCAGACGCTGGTTTGACAACTATTAAAATATTGCCAGTTGGACATGTTTTCCACCAATTGCACTGTTTTAAAAACACAAGGACATTTATACATTTTTAATTTGACATTGATTTTCTACTACAGGGTGCAACAGCGTACCTCGGCAAACAATCTGATAGTCACTGATCGTAACACAAATCCCTTTTCTTTTCTTTTTAGTTGTTATAAAATTGGTGCAATATTCATGGGATTTACATGGACACGAGTGAATCCGAAGACAGATGGTCTTCTAATGTTGCTCAAGGAACAAATGACTACTGAGTGACTTTGTCTCAAACAGCTGGTGTGTGGTGGCTCTGCATAAATGTCTGGCCATGTGTGTATGTGTGTCATTGAGGGCACAGGCAGCAGAGGGTTCATCACCAGATGGAACACATGCAAACAAACCTATTAATACCCATAAAATAAATATGGAAACAAACTCTTTCGTGACCACGCATTTAATTCTCGATCAACCAAAAATCAGTCCTTTCCTCTATGCACATCTGTGGGTGTCTGAATGGAAACGAGCTGAAAGCATTCACGAATAGAACAAAAACATGCAAACGCATACAAAGGGTGTGTGTAAGGCACCAGGTAGTTGTTTTCTTTTCTTGCTTGGCTACAAACCAGCAACCTGAAGGGAGTTAAACAGCCTCTGAACGGAGGAGAAGACCTTGTGTCTGGCTTGATAACGCCGTAACAAGATGGAAAACAGTGCTGGGCCGTGAAGGATTTGCCAAAGTGGACAGTCTGATTGATTAAAACAAGCATACTTTTTCACACACTGATTGCCAAAAGTAATAATTGCAAAAAGAGCTTTAAAATAGTGTGCAAAATTCTGGTGTAGGCGACCAAGAATCCTCTCAGCTAGTCTGATTGCACACGCGGCGTCATGCATGGAGCCAAAAACAAATATGCAGAAATGCACACATTCATGCACACCAGAAATACAGCTGTGTGTGTGTTTTTTTTCTTTATGGTGGAAACAAATTAGCATTTACATACACATACACACTTGAGCATATACTGTACATGCAACACCAATAAGTACACATAGAAATATGGACTCTCATGCGCCTACACAGCCACACAAACACACACATCAAGGAGATAATAAGAGGGGTGAGAGGTCTGAAATTGAGCTGCAGGTACACTGGGACCTGAACACTGTGGTCTTATGTCACTTTAACCCTCTGAAAAGATGGTGAGATAGAAAGCTGCCCCGGAGAGAAGCAGAAACACCTTCACTGCTATGTGTTAGTGTCTCTCTCTTATTGTTCTCCATGTCTAAATTCTCTCAGTTCGAATTTTTCCAACTTTTTCCTTTTCTGCCCTCTCGTACTCCCTCTCCTTTAGCACCTTTTACAATTTGATCTGTAGCTTTACAATGTGGAACAGCACAGTGACAGCATCATTTGTCTTCTTCCCCCGCATCTTTAGGTACCTACACACACATGCGCTCAAGTTCTATAAATGGTTTAGTGAGTTAGTGAGGAAAAATTGCTGAAAATCTACGTCATGTCATCAAAGTTTTAAGGAAATCTATCTCTATTGTGGCAAACAAACAGCTAAAAGAACAAACCAAGAACCAGAAAGGATCTGAGTCTTGTGTTGGACAAATCCAAAAACCCACACAAACATATTTCTCTGTAGAACCAAGTTCCTACAATTAACTATAGGAACAAACATAGAAAGATGTTGAAGATGAAAATGTGTTTGTCTGTGTTTTGGATGAGCTCATGTTTTAGATTCACCACTGTTTTTACTCAAACATTCCTAAATAGTCAACCGTAGGTGAATAGCGTGCTTAGCATGAAATGAAAACTCCTCAGCTCATTTGGCCTTAAAAGAAGCATTTAAAAAAGTCAATTAATACGTCTAATTTAAGTATTGCTCCCAGGATACATAGCCCATTTAGGATATAAAACTAGTCTGTGGTGCACTGTATAACTGCAAATGATACCAAAATTGACAAATATTACACAGAAGAATAACTTCATGATCACACTTAGGTATCATATAGTCTTTACCCATACAAGTACAGCTATACACACCCATATTATTTAGGTTTCCTATTAAATATATTATATATTTGTTTTTTGTACTGCAGCTGTAAGAACCTAATCGGTGGATAAAAAAGGTGGATATGCATACTAGTTAACATTAATATTAATAACATTTAGCCATGCAACATCACCTCTCTGGTGGTGAAAGTGGGCCGAGCTAGTGCTTGAGGTTGAGAGATAAGGGTTAGATAAAGCTGGGGTCAACTCAATGGATAATTTGTATTCCGGAGAGCAGCCTGGCTCTTTTCCAGTCTGGAGTTGCTCCACTGTCCCCAGTGAGGAAATGGAGCGATGGTACAGAAAGTTGGAGGGTGTGTTAACAGAACACACTGAGGATTTCTGTTACTGGACATTTGTGCAATTCACACTTTGTCCATACGGAATACCATGAATATAGATGAGGTTGTTTGTAAGTGCACTTGGCTAGGCCACCCTACATCATTTTGCAATCATGTACATATGTCATAGACACGAGCCGAGTTATCAAATGACGACCATAAATGATCAGGCCTGGCATACCTATACATTTAGTGAGGCTGTACTGGAAGTGTCTGGCCCCCACTTCTTGTGGGAGATCATCAATTTGTACCTCAGTCAGAACTTCAACAGCAATCGACAACCCTGTCACCTCACAGCAAGAAAGTCCTTTTTTCTTGTGGTCTCTGGGTCCTGTGCCTGCATGAGGTACAACTAGGTACCACAGCTTTCTTCCACAGTCCAGATACTTGCATGTTAGGTTAAACGGTGATTCTAAATTGGCAATAGGTGTGAATGTATAGAAGGTAAAGTATTTAACTGTATGACTATACGGGGAAAAAAAGTGGCTTGAAGTGTTGAGAGTCTAAACTGGTAAGTGAGACTAGAAAAGCCATTCCAGTCCATTCCAAAGGAGGAGGGGACCTTGAGTGTGAATGGTTCCACACTTCCTTTATTGAGGTTGGTGTGTAAAGCTGTGGCAACGAGGTGGTTGGAGGATCTTTTCTAGCTTGGTTACCTAATGCATTTTTAAATA